TCGGAGCAGACAGCGTGATCCGGCGCTGTGTCATGGAGCGCGAGATGGGAGACATCCTGTCTCAATGCCACGAGGGACCTACTGGAGGTCACCATGGAGGTAACCGCACGGCGCGGAAGGTGCTACAATCGGGCTTCTATTGGCCCTCGCTCTTCAAGGATGCAGACTCCTTCGCACGCCAGTGCGACCGCTGCCAAAGGTCAGGTAACATTTCTTCCCGGGATGAGATGCCCCAACATATCTCTGTTATCTGTGAAATTTTTGATGTTTGGGGTATCGATTTCATGGGCCCATTCCCTCCATCTTTTGGCAATCTGTACATATTGGTTGCAGTAGACTACGTCTCGAGGTGGGCAGAAGCTCAGGACATGCCCACCAATGATGCAAGACGGGTCTGCTCATTTCTGAAGCAGCTGTTCTCCCGGTTCAGGACACCCCGCGCCATCATTAGTGATAGAGGAACCCATTTTCAAGGGCAATTCACTAAACTCCTCTCTCGCTATGGTGTTAAGCATCAGGTGTCGGTGGCCTACCATCCCCAGTCAAATGGGCAGGCCGAGCTGACGAACCGGGAGCTAAAACGAATTATTGAAAAGACGGTGGATCAGTCCCGCAAGGATTGGTCCACCAAGCTCGATGATGCTCTTTGGGCGTATAGGACTACCTATAAAAATCCGATTGGCACTTCTCCCTATAGGCTTGTCTATGGGAAGGCGTGCCATTTGCCAGTAGAGCTAGAGCACAAGGCCTTCTGGGCCATTAAGCTGCTAAACCTTGATTTGAGTGTTGCAGGCACAGAACGTAAGTTGCAGCTGCTGGAGTTTGAGGAGTGGCGTTACCACGCCTACGAGAACACCGTGCTCTACAAGATGCTCTAAAACACAACACCTAACAATGGCCAAGTGTAACCAATGAAAGGGACTGCAGTATAGTGGCACAAGTAATAAATATCGAATCCACGGGTCTCTAGAGTTACTATTACTCAGCTTCAGTTCATTATCTAGCAAACTAGATTAAGGATTGATTAACTAAACTACTCTACTAACTAAACTAAGTAAAACTACTAATTACAGTTTGGGAACTCACTTAGGTATGATTCCCCCTAACTCCTCAATTAGGTCCAAGTTGTAATTCCTTTTGGTTGATTTACTGTTCATTAAACTGCGGAAGATCCGACAGTAGCTTGGAATCTCTTAAGCTGACCAAGCCCTCTCAGTCTAACTATCCGGCAGACGACTAGTCTTCACCGGGATAGAAAGCTGAAGCAATAAGCACAGAACTCCACCACTGGAATTGGATTCCAGTACAAAGCAGTAAACTGGCTAACTCTCGTATAGCCAATCTCCTACTACCGAATGATGAGACTCTAGCAACCTAATCAGATTCTATCTATTTCAGATTGCAGCAGGAATCAGGAAAAGTTGATCAGACTTCAATTGACTCAATAAACATGCATCATTCGATTATAATCAAACAATATAGCATCCAAAACTTCATACAAGAAAGATCCTAACTCATGGAACTAAGGTTTCTCAAAATCTAAGTGAAGGGAAGTTACTCCATAGAGAAGAGAGAGACTGTAGAAATCTGATCTAGATCTTCAATCTCCATCTCCAAGCTTGATTCCCGAGCTCCAATGGCGAAGAAATCCTCCAAAATAGCTCCAAGAATGTTCCCAAGTCGCTCTCTCTCTCTAGGGTTCGTCCCTTGGGTGTTTGGGATCCAAAACCTAGCTCTCCCCCTTTCCTTTTGCTGAAAATCGGGTTTTAAACAGCAATTCCCGACTCACACGGCCAGGCCACACGGCCGTGTGGCTTTCCCAGCTGCCCGTGTGAAGGCTCGGTGATTCCCACACGGCCAGGTCACACGGCCGTGTGGATTGTGCCCGTGTGGCTTGCTCAGCCTCTGTTTAATGCTTAGTTTCTCCCTCGTCCGGACTCCGAATCAGTCGCCGTTTGATCCCAGACGCTCGTAGTCTCGTCCTCTTTCTTTTCATGACAAGATTGCACATTACTATAGAGACTGTCAATTCAAAGCATACTGAGCAGGAAATTTGCAAGGAAACACGTACTTGGAGCCCTCAAATTTAAAAATTTGGACAGTGGACTAGGCTCCAAGCACACAAACAGCCAAACATTCACCCGCATACATAATCGAACACCCCCCCCCACACTTAAGCACGACATTGTCCTCAATGGAGGAAAGATAAGGAGGGTAGAACGAAGTTACCAGATCAAGGGTGAATGATTATGTATGGGTCAGGCAGTGCATTCCAGGAAGAGAGAGTAATCAGAACACAAACACCACACAAAATCTCACAAAGGTTGAGTTATTGACTCTAAAATCCAAAAACAAAACTGACTCAACCAAGGAGAAATAGAGAAAGAAATGCAAACCGACTGGTTGGGTTGCCTCCCAACAAGCGCTTCTTTCACGTCGTGAGCCGGACGATGGCTCCTAAGTTTCGGTCCATGCTAGAACCTCCTTGAAGTTGAGGTTCTCGTCGATGAGGTGGAGTCTCAAGTCACGAGCATGTGGTGTGGCAGGTGATGAAGGCTCATGTACTTGATGCAGATGAAGTCTCCACCCTCGAGACCTCTTATTCTCTTCTCTTGTCTCATTGCCCCAAACCAGATATGACAGCATCGACCGACCACCATCGCGTCCACCAAGAGGGACCGATGTCGATGTGGCCTTGGTCTGGCAAAGAGACACTGCAAATGGGTCCTTGCCAAGCAGTTCCTCAAAGTTTGGTGGGGATATTACTTGCAACTCATGGCCGGTGCATGCCTCTTCCACCTCAACTTCATCCTCAGCCTGGACGCCAATTGCTTCCTCAACTCCCCTTCCTTGTTCAAAATGTGGTCTCTCCCCTGGGAAAAGATCAAGAACCACCTCTTCTTTTCTTTCTTCCTCATCATCCACAACTTCCTTCCTCATCCTTGCTCGCTCTTCTTCTTCTAGAACAGATTGGAGAGCAAGTCGCCAAGCAATTTCTTCAATGGGATCATCTTGCATCTCCTCGCACGGGCCCAGCATGTTAGAGCATAAATGAGGAAAGGTGTGGTCTGCAACCAAAGGACTTTCCTGATCATGGTTATCATGGGAGTTCTCTGTGATAACTTCTGTATGCTCCTCAACGCTCCCATAGCCTTTGTCATCCTCCACCTCTTCTAGTGTGGTAGCAGAAAGGTGATCTTGAGCAAGATGTGAGCAAACTTGCTCCACCCACTCTGTTTGCTTTGCTGAGCGCTGAACAGTCTCCTCCATATCATGGAGAAATGAGGGATCGGAAGCAGCAAGGGCTTTGATTTGAAGATCCATCTTGGAGCATGATCTCTCAGTGTCTCGAGCAAACTGCTCCACGAGAAGCCTTAATTGTTCGTTCGGATCCTCCAGTGAAGTGTAGCATGGCTCTGCAGAGTGGCCCGTGAAGGCCGCCATGGGTAACTCCAGCTCCGATGGCTTTTCTGGTTGTGGGAGAAAGTCTTCTTGGTAATGAGGTTGTTCTTGATATGCCCAGGGGTCTGGTTGTTCTCCGTAGAAAGGGGGTTCGTACTGGAACCCGAATCCATAGTCTTCTCCTCCTTGATTGCTGTAGGGAGTCTCGGGGTAATACCACCCAGATGGTGGTGGATACCCCCAATGATTGGAGAAGCCATTAGGATCCATAATTCAGATCTGCACCAACAAAAACAAAAACACCCAAGTGAAAAGCAAGGGTGGAAAAGAAAAGAAAATAAAAACGCTAAAGTAACAAACTTCTTCCTTTCCTAATACTCTAGAAAGTCCCCGGCAACGGCGCCAAAAACTTGATGCTCTAAAACACAACACCTAACAATGGCCAAGTGTAACCAATGAAAGGGACTGCAGTATAGTGGCACAAGTAATAAATATCGAATCCACGGGTCTCTAGAGTTACTATTACTCAGCTTCAGTTCATTATCTAGCAAACTAGATTAAGGATTGATTAACTAAACTACTCTACTAACTAAACTAAGTAAAACTACTAATTACAGTTTGGGAACTCACTTAGGTATGATTCCCCCTAGCTCCTCAATTAGGTCCACGTTGTAATTCCTTTTGGTTGATTTACTGTTCATTAAACTGCGGAAGATCCGACAGTAGCTTGGAATCTCTTAAGCTGACCAAGCCCTCTCAGTCTAACTATCCGGCAGACGACTAGTCTTCACCGGGATAGAAAGCTGAAGCAATAAGCACAGAACTCCACTACTGGAATTGGATTCCAGTACAAAGTAGTAAACTGGCTAACTCTCGTATAGCCAATCTCCTACTACCGAATGATGAGACTCTAGCAACCTAATCAGATTCTATCTATCTCAGATTGCAGCAGGAATCAGGAAAAGTTGATCAGACTTCAATTGACTCAATAAACATGCATCATTCGATTATAATCAAACAATATAGCATCCAAAACTTCATACAAGAAAGATCCTAACTCATGGAACTAAGGTTCCTCAAAACCTAAGTGAAGGGAAGTTACTCCATAGAGAAGAGAGAAACTGTAGAAATCTGATCTAGATCTTCAATCTCCATCTCCAAGCTTGATTCCCGAGCTCCAATGGCGAAGAAATCCTCCAAAATAGCTCCAAGAATGTTCCCAAGTCGCTCTCTCTCTAGGGTTCGTCCCTTGGGTGTTTGGGATCCAAAACCCAGCTCTCCCCCTTTCCTTTTGCTGAAAATCGGGTTTTAAACAGCAATTCCCGACTCACACGGCCGTGTGGCTTTCCCAGCTGCCCGTGTGAAGGCTCGGTGATTCCCACACGGCCACATGGCCAGGTCACACGGCCGTGTGGATTGTGCCCGTGTGGCTTGCTCAGCCTCTGTTTAATGCTTAGTTTCTCCCTCGTCCGGACTCCGAATCAGTCGCCGTTTGATCCCAGACGCTCGTAGTCTCGTCCTCTTTCTTTTCATGAAAATATTGCATGATTCTTTGTCCATAAAGTGAGGTATAAATCCATTCTTCTTCAGGTCATACCCGAGTTTCTTCTCCTGAATCGTCAATTGATCTCTGATTGACTTGAAACTTGCGCCTATGCTTCACTTTATGTGCTAGGACCTGAAATGTGACAAAGGAACATAACCTAGCATAAAATAGGCCAAAGACACGATAATTCAAGCTCAAACAATCAAGAAACAAAGGGGAAAACATGTGCAAATACCGAGTCATCACCTACCGAGTATATATGAGTTGTGGTTGCCCCGCTTGGAGCCTAATTTGCTGTCTGGGTGTATGATCCGAGGGCTCCAAATGCGTTTGAGTTTGTGTGAATGGTGAATGGTTCTGATTGGTTGTGAATGTTTTTACCTTCCTGGGGCCTAGTCCACTGTCCGAACTTATGATTCGAGGGCCCCGGGTGAGGATGATTGTGACCTCACCATTGACGAATTTCCATGTATGTTGTTGGGTTTCTGCTGTTTTGTGGCTGGAGGAAAATGAACACTTACTTGACCATGCTCGACGCCGACCAGAGGAAGACTCTGAAGGACATCCGACGCCGCAAAGTCGTTCAGCACCATTACCTCGATTGGAGGGTTTTCGAGGAGCTGGGTGCTCGCGAGGCAATGGAGGCTGCCATCCGCGCTTACTCTTGGCGCCGCCTCCTCTGCCTCGCTGAGCCGATCTATCAGGAGCTCCTCTGGGAGTTCTACTCTACCTTCGAGCATTTCCGGACCCACACGGGCGCGCACGACAACGCCATCCAGTTCCGCCTCGGAGGCGAGTTTTACTCCCTTAGCTATGATGACTTTGGTCGGGCACTGGGGCTCCTTCCACCTTTCGCCTGTCACCTGGAAATCGAAGAGCCCGACAGTCCCATCTTTTGGGACCAGCAGTTCTTCGAGAGGATCTGCCTCCCGGAGTTCTCAGGCGCTGTTTTCACACCGGGCTACACCACGGCCACTCAGTTGCGCCCAGAGTGGCGCATAATCAACCAGCTGTTGGGGAAGTCTTACACCCCCAGCGAGGGCTCCACCAGTCATCTTCAGCTCCGCACCCTGCATTGCCTGCACTCCATGAGCCACGAGGTGGACAACCTCCATCTGTCCTCCCTCATTGCCAGGACTGTCGTCAAGGCTTCTCGGTGTGTTCGACCCCTGGCGTGTGGGTCGGTGGTCACTGCCCTGGCACGGTACTACAACATCGACCTCTCCAGGTTCACTCTCATACAGCCCGTGAAGCCCTTCTCAAGGGAAACCCTACGGCGCCAGCTGATACTGCAGCACGAAGGGGACGTGATCTGGATCCGGGGCCTTCCTTACCCTGTTCCTCGTGCACCAGAGGGTGAGGACCTCCCCGAGGCGAGTGATGATGCAGCCCATCGGACCACTTGTCGTCGGCGGAACACTCCTTCTGCGCCTGGCACCTCCACCTTTGCTGCCGGCCCATCTGCTGCCACACCCACCACTTACATTGCCGAGCAGCTGGCGGCCATTCCCGCCAGAATGAGCAGATCCTTGCTGGCCAGGAGCACCTCAACGCCCGCCTCGACCGTGAGCGCGAAGGTCGCCGCCGCATCATTTCGGCTCAGCATTACATGATGAGCTACAGGGACATGGATCCGGCTGCTGTTAGCTACCCTTGGGAGGAGTCCCCGGGGCATGAGGACTACTACCCGCCTCCCACTGGCGATGGAGGCGATGAGCCCTGAGCTGGCTTTGCTAGCCCATCTAGTTGGGCTCGGCTTTTGTCTTTCTTTCCAGACTTCGACTCCGGATTGTGTTTGGTTTTTTTCTTTCTTGTTCCCGTTGTGTGGATTGTAGACTTGGAACTATGATTTCTTTCACCCCATGTGTGTGTTTTGTTGCTTCTAGCTCTGTGCCCGTTGGACTGGTCCTTGTCCAGTCCTCTGCGATTGACTGGTCCGCCATCCAGTCAACGTTCCTGACCACTGTTTCACGGTAACATCGTTCCCCTTCCCTCTGCTCCATTGAGGGCACTGTCGCATCTAAGTGTGGGGGGGTTCTTTGTATTTATTGGAACGTATATATGGGTGCGTGGAGCCTAGTCCGCTGTCCGAATCTTACGATTTGAGGGCTCCACGTACTGCTGGTTGATCATATTGGCACTGTGATTTGATTGGTGAATTGAATGGTTTTCGGATTGATGCATGACAACTTGATTGTGACTAGGACAACCTGTGATGAGGACTGAGACGTGCAGTAGAATTGTGTAGGGGTTCAGTTTTTCAACTGTTTGCTTACCAACTGTGACTTGGATTGATTACTTGTTCTTGACAGTCTCTTATGCATCTAGTTCAGGGTATCAGAATGTGAGATAGAGCATATAGGTAGCCATGTGAGATTTGAGCCTGCTCGTTTCTTTCTTGTGCGATAGATCTCTCTTCCATGATGTGTAGCATTCACGTTGTCACTAGCTAAGATGATGGGGGCATAGGATTAGCCCACGACCAAATTTGACTGTCCTGATGTGTCATATACCCTAGTCAGCCCTTTTGAGTCGTGTGTTATCCTTTCTTTTGGTCTGAAATGAAAAAATCACCCGTTTGCATCTTTTAGAAGGTTCCACAGAGTGGTTTTTACATATTCTCTGATGTTTCTGCTAAATAATTTGTTGTGAGTGTTGGAGGTAGTGCTTAAAAGCTGGGCTGGGCATGTGTTTGAAATATATGCAGAAGTGGTGGCTCTCTTAAGAAATGAAAAGAAAATAAAAGAAAAAACAAAGGAAAATTGAAAGCAAAGAGAGCCACTACCAAAAATCTGAATAATGCCCAGTAAGTAGTGTTTCTTAGCAGTCTGGCTTGGAAATGCTGACATTTATACCTCCTTCGCTCTTGTGCTCTTGAAATATTGAGTAATGCAGAATAGCAGAAAGGAAATACCGGTTTGTTTGACTGTGATTGTTTGGGTTTGGAAATGTGGAACCTTGTGCTATGAATACTTCCACCACCTAAAAGGCCTTTTCCCCATGTCCAAGACCCTAGCCAATCATTTGAACCTGTGTCTAAGACCTCCTGATTAGTTAGTGGTGACACCCCATATGTGAGCTCTAGCATTTAGAGGCTGCCATCATGGTGAAGAGATGTTAGGGATTGAGAGAAATAACATGCACATTTTTCGCATCAAATTGTCCTGACCCCACTGGTCGAGAGTGAGTGATTCATTTTTCATATTATATACTCTCTTGTTTCCCGTTGAGGACCTAGATTGCTCGGTCTCTATTCCGATGTTTTGAGTTGGATGCATGAGTTGACTGTTTTGAGTAAGTGGTTGAGTCAAGTCTAGGTTGGTTGGTGAACAGAAGGGGAGACTCTTCCTTTACTCGATTTTGCTGCACTCTAATGTCCTTTGTGGTGGTTGTCCAGGTTGATATTGAAGTTGCTCATGTGTTGATGTTTGAAAACCAGTACGATTCACGTGTTCTGTGCCTTTATGACTTGTCCCCAATGTTGGTTGATTGAAATATGTAAGCTTACCTTGTGTTTGACTTGGTTTGCTTGGGGACAAGCAAACGGTTAAGTGTGGGGGAATTTGATAGCATCGTATTTGCACGTGTTTTCACTCTGGTTTCCTATCCATTTTAGCTTGAATTGATTGTTCCTTGGCCTATTTTACGCTAGGTTGTGTTGTTTTGTCGTATTTCAGGTCCTAGCAAGTAAAGAGGTGCATAGGCGCAAGTTTCGGGTCATTTGGAGGTCAGATGGTGATTCACTGGCCAAATTACGGGCAGCCCCTGCCAAATTACGACCGTAATTGGTCAGGGCATGCCCGTAAAACCAATGCCGAGCCACTTTTCCAAGAATTCTTCTCGGCACTAAAATTACGGGCAAGCATCCACCAAATTACGACAGTAATTCATGAAATACTGGCGGTAATTGGAAATTACGGGCGCTCCTCTTCCATCAGAGTAAAGTGAAACGCGCGTTTTGGGCGAATTACGGGCAGGCCGTGATTACGACCGTAATTCTGCCCGTATTTCGCCCAGAGTCGGGTTTTTGAAGCCAGAATCGAGCCAAGGAAAGGGAATCGAATTTCTTGAGCAAAAATAGAGCCCTAGAGAGAGAAAGGACGAAGAACTCACCATAGAAGCCATCTTGGAGCTGGGTTTCATCGAATCGAGCTTGGAGATCGTCCTAGGAGTGGAAATCATCATCCCGGAGCAGATTTTCCTCATCTTTATGAGTATGACTACTCCGATTACTGTTTTCGTCTCTCTCTCTATGGAGTAGAACCCTTATCTCACTTGGGGATGAAGAACCCTAGTTCTATGTGTTAGGGATTGATTGTAATGACTTGGGATGATATTACTGTTTGATTTTAATCGAATGATGCATGTTTATTGAGTCAATTGAAGTCTGATCAACTTTTCCTGATTCCTGCTGCAATCTGAGATAGATAGAATCTGATTAGGTTGCTAGAGTCTCATCATTCGATAGTAGGAGATTGGCTATACGAGAGTTAGTCAGTTTACTGCTTTGTACTAGAATCCAATTCCAGTAGTGGAGTTCTGTTCTTACTGCTTCAGCTTTCTATCCCGGTGAAGACTAGTCGTCTGCCGGGTAGTTAGACTGAGAGGGCTTGGTTAGCTTAAGAGATTCCATGCTACTGCCGGATCTTCCGCAGTCTAATCAACAGTAAATCAACCCAGGGGAATTGCAATTGAACCTAACTAAGGAGCTAGGGGGACTCATTCCCGAGTGACTCTTACCTGCTTGAGAAAACCGTATCAATTCCTGCTTTCTTTCATCTTTTGCTTTTAAACAACAATCACTTGCTTTAGTTGGCTAGATAATAGAGAATCACTGAGTAAGCAGTAGATCTAGACCCCGGGTTGATAATATAACTTGCCTGTTACTGCATTCCCGGTCTGCGATTACACTTGGTCGCAGATTGGTGTTGTGTTTTGGCGTGTCATGAGGCTACATTGTCTAGAGCTTATAACAAGATTTACAACGGTAAGTCTAGACACATTAGCCTGAGACCTGATTACGTTAGGTATTTGATTACTAACGGAATCATTTCTATTGTGTATGTAAGGTCGTGCAACAATTTGGCAGATCCTCTTACAAAGGGTTTGCCAAGAGGCATGATATATGAGATATCCCAAGGGATGTGATTGATACCTTTTGTATAATTAGAAGTAATGGAAAGCCAACCTTTTCTTTAGATATTCACTAATTAAAAGGTTCAATGTGGTAATAACAAGTTACTCTAACTGGGAACTAGTTTATTGTACAAGTAAATTAGTTGTAAGAATGGTGAGTTATAGAACTCTTAATGACGTTCATTTGGAATGTCACCTATGTGAGCATTTGGAGTGGTGCCACTCTAACAAAAGTAAAGGTCAACTTTTGTATATGCTCATGAAACAGGATAAGCACATGGCCATAATAGTGCTACCCTTGTTGGTGGTTGTGTTTTAGAGAAGAGATGAATAAGTGTGTGGTGTCTCTAGTTCTAGCTTTGGATCTTGACTCCTAGGCTTAAGCCCGTCATTGATTCGCTATGAACTTTGAGATGCTTATACTAAGTAAAGGTTCAAATCGAAAAGATACCTTTATGTATGCGTTACTTGTTCGAGGCATGTATTCTCGACTCTTATTGACTAAGTGGGGGATTGTTAGAGTAGTCAAAGAGTAAAGGAAATACCACATTGGTGGGAGAAGGAAAGTGCAAGTTGTTTTTAAGTTTGCTTTCCACTTTAGTTATTGGATAAAGTGGTTAGTGGGCTTTTGGAAAAAGTGTGGGCTATTTAATTTGACATATTAAATCGCACTACGCACTTAGCACTTGGCACGTTTGTGCGACGCGTTCGGATTTAAATTTTTGGCTAATTAATTAATCCGGATAATTATTTAATTTTTGACTTTTGCGAAATGACGTAACCCTTCGGAAGGGAACTGCCGTTTTCACTATAAAAGTCTTTTGCAACCAAACTTCTCGTCCAACGTTCGTCTTCTTCTCCTCGTTTTTCCTTCTCCAAAAACACAAACATAGAAGTCACGAAAGGTGTTGCTTTCTGACTTTGATTGGAGGGACTCCTGGGGATGGTTTGCCTAAATCCTACCAGCAACAACGTAGTGGGGGCAAATAAACACTCTAAGGAGAGTGATCAAAATCACGCCTTCAATCCGTTTTCTCCATACTGTTTCCCTGACAATCTTAGAGTGTTTATTTTCGTGTGACAATGGATTCTGGAGTGGAGAGCACTTTGAAGGCGTATGCCTCTGATTCCAACAAACTCAAACGGTTTGATAGAACCAATTTCACCCGCTGGCAAGAGAAGATGAAGTTTATGTTGACTGCTTTGAAGATCGTGTACATACTGGATCCTGATTTGGTGTCGCTAGGAGAACCACAAGACATTGACTCTGATGAATTGAAGGTTGAGCGCAAGAAGAGGAGTGATTACAGCCTGTTGTGTCGAGGATACATCCTCAATTCACTCTCTGATCTTCTCTACGATCTGTATTCCTAGTTGGCGACCCCTACTGAGATTTGGACATCTTTGGAGAACCAATACAAATCAGAGAAATAAGGCGCATATAAGTTTGTCACATTCCAGTTCTTTGAATTTAGTATGACTGATAAGCGTTCAATTCTGGATCAAGTTCATGAATTCCTAATCTTGGCCTCTAAATTAACTGCGTTGAAGATAACTCTTCCTGATGCGTTTCAGGTGGGGGCAATTATTGTGAAGTTGCCTCCATCATTGAGCAACTATAGGAAGAAATTACTTCATACGTCAGAGGAGTTCACTTTGGAGCAGATTCAGAAGCACCTTAGGATCGAGGAGGAAACTCGTATCCGTGACAAGGATCTGAATTCGGAGGCACCATCAAGTTCCAATGTGAATGTTGTGGAGAGCAAGAAGGGAAAGAAGAGAAAGGCCAAAAGTTTTGGTTCCCAACTTGACGTCTCAAAGTAAAGAGTCGAACCAAATCAACCATTATCCTTTCCATTTTGTTCGGTTCCTATCTCAATTCGATTCGACTATGAATGGAATAGACCGATGCCACCGTAGTTGTAATACTAGATACTTGATACTCCTATGCTTGGATCCCTTTAGCGGGGTAACTTGTAAAATAACATGAACGAACGGAAAACAATAACACAAATACACAAGGTATATGTGGTTTCTCCTATAATCAGGACTAATCCACGGAAGACGCAGAAGTTTTTGTCTGAAATCTTATTAGAGGCTTGGTCTTGTAGGATCTTACATCCTTTGTCTGCCATACATGGAGTTATATACATAGGTTATGGCGTTAGGATTTTCGGATAATATTTATACACTACAAATTAATCATCAATGTAAATAATGTTACATTAGACATTAACACTCCCCCTCGCGTCGAGGAGTGAATATTGTGAAGTCCGAGTTTGGAAGTCCGACCCCAAGACCCAATTTGAATATCGAGAAGTTCCGGTTAGGAAAACTAGTCAACCCCAAGACCCTTCGTGAAAACGTCAGCAACTTGATCCATAGTTGTTGTCTTCCGTGGCGTAATCTGTTGAGAAGCAACACTCTTCCGTACAAAATAGCAGTCCATCTCAACACAACTCAAATGGAAAAGAAGTCACTTGTAAGTTGTAACTTTTACGTGATAATTGTCGAGGAATTGCTTATCCTAACAATTTGAAATGTTGGGTGAATATCAACAATGAATTTTATATTGTTTCCTTAAGCGTCCATCAAACGAAAAGTCAACTTATGAGTTTGAAGATTATATATGTCGTTAATACTATATGATTTTTTATCGACTATTAATATTGACTGTATGCGAGAATTCAAATACAAAACATCATAATAAAAGTACACTTTGATACTATATCGAGAGCCAACTTATCAAAATAACTCGACATATGTTTCATAGAGTCAATTGAGCTGCAGTTCAGTTGTAGTAGACAACTGGATATGATCGGTCCCATTGCCAACTTCTTTTCCACGGGTATGTATGTTAACTAACGAGATGACCAATTCCAGTCGGTAAAATTCTCGTCGGTGAATTTAATACGGCTAATAGTTCTAGTTCTAGACTTCTAGTACTCCAAAGTCCAAAAGTGATTTTAACAATAAATTTAAATTTACTGGACCCCGGCCGGGAGGGATGGGGTGGTGAAATTTTCTCCATGCCAGTCGAGTTATTAACTGATAGATGACCCCAATTATTCTTAATAATTCGAATTATTAATGTATGCCTAGTTATATGGTATATTATACTATTTACTAGCCGATAAGATTTTCGCCATCGGATAAAGTGTCGCCAAAACCTTTTAGCGACCGTTTTCTTGCTTTGGAAAGTGAGAGGTAGGGATGGTAATTTTGACTTGACCCGATTTTCTGGACCTGTTTGGCCTATTTTGGGGCGGGTCCGACCTGCCTCGTAGGAGGGTCGGGGAGGGTATGGGTACTCTCATCGACCCAACCTGCCCTTACCCGCCCCATTCTCGACCATTCTTGCCTAAATTACATGTAATTTTAGTCAATTACTTAGTATTTTCCTTTCATTACACCATATTTTAGCTATAATAAAGTTATAAATAAGTGAAAACCTTAATTTCTCCAATAATTTAACTAAATTTATCATACTATGATTTGTTTTCTTTGTCTTATAATGAAAATAGAGAATATTTCTAATGTTTTCCATATAAATTGCTTACTCATTGGGTCGATCTGCACCAACCCGTGACCCATGATAAATCATCCAACCTGGACCCGACCTGCCACGGCAGCGGCGGATACAGAACACAATAGAGTACTGGGTCGCAGTTCATTACAAAATTATATACTGTAAAAAATATATACGATCCTATTTTTTTTACAATGTCACCAGCAAAAGCTTCAATCTTATCCGCTTGAAGTGCATTTGTATTGATATAATCCTTGGAAGTCGCATTCTCTAACGCAAAGAGCCCTGAATAAGAGAAGCACTCTATCAGCAATTGAAATAGTCCCCCAAGCCAAGAGGAATCTATTTATTGTACATTACGGTCTTTTAATTTGGCGAATGCATTAACATACTATGTTTCAAATAACATAGTTAATCAATCGGCGAGAAATTCATTGCTCAAGTTGTTGCGTAAATCAGTTTTCACATGTTTCATTGTTGAAAAGGTTCACTCTTAATCAGCTTGTTTTAAGTTCTAATATTTATCCTTTTCTTTTGCAAAGAACTTATATGAAAATTTGGAATCATTAATCTTTGGTTATAATTTATAATTATATCAATCCAAAAATTTGAAAAAGGTAGTTCTAAGCGTAGATAATATATAATATTATTAATTTGTAATAATTTTTTGAAGATATGTAGTTTTTATTATTATCTAATAATTTTTATCTTTAATAAATTTGTGAGAAAAAATTTGGGGCCACATTTAAATTTTCGAACAGGGCCTCCGAATATAATGGGACGACCCTGTTTCTCCTATTTTGACTTTTCTTCAACTAGTTAGAGTCGATCTTTCAACTTGTTATGCTCAATTATCCATTCTATTATCAATATTTTTCATTCTTAAAGTGTTTTTCCCTACGTTTTATTGTAAAAAGTAAAATTTACTTGTATTTTTTTTTTAACAACATATAAGAGTGGGTCGACCCGCCCCGCCCCGTACCTGTGCGGGTTTTACCCGCCCCAACTCATAGTAGCATGAGGCGGAGCATGGGAATTGAGGTACCCGCCCCGCCCACCCATTGCCATCACTACTGCCCATTGCCATTGCCATTCCTATTTCCTAGTGAGAGGTGAATGGACATGGACCAAGTCCGAGTCCATTTCTTTGGCTTGACAATTTTGAGGCCACGTCGCGCCCATGCAGCGGCCATCTCGTCTTTTGATTCATCGTTCATGTGCAG